GAGGATGTTATGCTTGATGTGGTACTCCTTCAGGTGGTTCATCAGGTGCGTCCCATAGCCCTTGGGGAAGTACCATGAGATAGAGACTCCCCCAGGCAGCCCCAACTGGGATAAACAACTCCCTCCTACCCATGGAAATGGCAGCTGGAAGATGTTCTGGAGCAACTACCACTGCTTGGGGCTGGCTGAGACCTGCTGAGCAGGTCTGGCTGCCCAAGGGGCTGGGGAAGCCCTACACCAGCTACAGAGAGACCATCCTGCCCCCGGGCTTTGGGGGGCACATGTGTGTGGCTATCTCCCTTCCCCCTGCTCTCACCTTCACTTGCTCATTGGAGGTGACAGCGCAGAAGACAATCTCCGTGAAGCCTTGGGTGGGGAACATGCGGAAACAGATGCCCCCAATCACTCGTCCATCCTTGATCAGCGCCAGGGTCTTGTGCTTCCTGTGGGCAGCACGGCCGAGGGTGAGGGGAGTCCCCCACACCAGCCCCCCCGCACTCCCCAGCCACGCACGGGTCAAAGACGAGGCGAGTGATGTACTCCTTGGGCATGCGGGGCAGCTGGTGCGAGAAGACATTCTGCAGCCCCACCAGCCACATCAGGATCTTCTTGTTGGATTTCTGTGAGAGCGAGTTGCCGATAACGTGGAACTCGATGATGCCGCGGCGCTCCTCCAGCCGCGCCGTCTCATCCCGCGCCGCGTTGGCCGACAGCAGGCTGGTCTGGGGGCATGGGGGGGTCACTGGCCCTGCACACTCTCCGTGGGGGGAGCCCCACTCCACCCTGGCACACTGGGAAAGCAGCTCTGTGGGCACTGGAGAGGACCAGAGCCACCCCAGCATCCGCAGCCCGTACCTCAGGGCCCAGCATGGCAGCAGGGTCCGTGATGGTCAGCATAACCTCATTCACTAGCTCCATGGGGATGTCTCCCATGACACGGATCCGCTTGGCATCCTCCAGAGTCAGGCTCTCAGGTAGCTTCCGCTTCTCTCCTGGGATGGGAGCAGAGCGGCACATCCAGTGCTGGGAGGGACCATGGACAGTTCCAGCTTTATGGCGTGGGCTCATGTGACCTTACCTGGCAGGGGCTCTGGGGTGCTGGCATCCAGGCTGGCAGCCGAGCTGCTGCTGCTGAGCTTCTTACTGAAGAGAGGAGTGGTGGGCACAGCAACGGTGCTGACTGCAGCTGCAACAGACCCATGGTGCCCATGACTGCTGGAAAATGCCTCATCACACCATGGCAGCCAGTCACAGCCACTGCAACTGCTCAGCCACACCTTGACCCTTTATCCCACAGCCTCCAAATAGGGGGAGCTGCTTCCTGAAATACCTGGGCGAGACACCAGCTGGGCACCCTCTGCAGCTGGCACTGTGAAATCAGCCTCCCAGATTGGAGAGTTCTCACCATAGATCTCCTCCTCCAGCATGGAGAGGAACCTGGAAGGGAGTGGCACATCAGCATGCAAGCGTCCCAAAGGAGGAGTCTCCTCAGTGCTCCAGCAGCCATCTCCACACTGGGCACCTACTTGGGGAAGTGGGTGAGGATCAGTGTCCGCTTCTCTGGTACCAGCTTGTCCTTCTCCACCCGGAACTTCTCCAGCAGCTGCCGGCGGGTCACCGTGAAGATGGACTTGAGGAGGCTGCGCCCGAAGACATGGGTGGTCTCATAGCGGGGCAGGCTGTCACAGCTCTGTGGCACATGGCAGTAGCACAGCCACCTGTGGAACAGGAAAGGGCTCTGGTGACAGAGCTGGAACCAGAGACCCCAGAGAAACCACATCCCTCCTGGGACAATGCTGCTAGGAGCAGGGGCAAGAAGAGCAGGTGGATGAAGGGCATGGCTGACTTTAGAAGCACTGGCCCCGCTGGGTGCCTGCTCTCCTAGTGGACTGACAGTGTGGGAGAGCTGGGGAGTCCTGGCAGTTAGACCCCAAGGCGGCTGGCTCAGTGGCCCCCTGCCCTTACCTGGTGTAGTTGACCTTGTAGGTGGCCACATCATCATTCTGGGAGCGCTGACGGAACTGGGACGGTGTCTCCAGCTTCCAGTAGTTGAGGCACAGCAGGAACATCTTGGAGAGCTCATACATGGTCTGGCGCTCCTTGGGTGGTAAGTGGCTGAACTTGTACTGCACAAAATTCAGGACTCCCTGGGGAGAGGACAAGACAGTGGGAGGGTGACAGGGACTGCTCTGGGTTCCTCCATGCTGCATCCTGGAGAGTGAGGGGACCGTGCAAGAACAGCAAAACACAGGACAAGTCATCGGGGCAGTGCACGAGCCTGACAGCAGCCTCACCTGCTCAATGTTTGGTTTCTCAAAGGGGGGGCTCCCCAGGGACCCCTCGACCACAGGCTGGCTCATCTGCAGGATGCACTTCCGAAGCAGCTACAAAGACACCATCAGACACAGTCAACACAGTCCCAGAAACTGGATGCTCCAGGAATGGTGGAGTGGTTGAATGCTGCCATGGGGCTGCTCCAATTTCTACAGCCAGGAAGGCACCGGTGTTGCCCTTGGAGCACACCCATTCATCCCCTAGAAACTGTTCCCCTAAGGAATTCAAGGCCAGGAGAGCAGTCACTCCAGAAGAGGGTCAGTGTTCCAGGTCTCTGGGCTGTGGGATGGTCTTCAGTGCCAGTTCCAACAGAGCATGAACAGTGGGACAGCAGCCCCCATTCCCCCACAATGACAGAGACTCGGCACAAGTCCCCACATGAGTGGGGCAGTGAGACATGCACAGCCCCAGACGCACCTTGAACAGGTAGAAATACACCTGCTTGGTGTCTGTGTCCTCCTCCTTGTGCACTGACATGAAGAGGTTCTCCACATCCACCACCATGCCCAGCAGACGGTTGATCTCTTCCTCTGAGACATTCTCCAGGTGGGACACGTGGTCCGCTGTGCCATGTGAGACAAAGCCACAGTGAGACTGCGGGATCAGCACCACTCGCCCTGCCCAGGAGGTCCCACAGGAGTTACCCAGCGCATGGCCACAGCTCCGGCACGGCTCGCTCAGGTTGGTCACTGGCTGCTGCAGGTCCATTCGAGGGGCTGTGGGGGGGTTGGGGTTCTTCCAGCCATTGCACTTGCAGGCGTCGTTGGCCTGGGACAAGGGACAGGAGTGGTCGTTGCAGTGGCCCACGTGCTGCCACACGCTGAGGCTGCAGCCTTCTGTGGCCAAGGGATTTCCCCGGCTCCCACCTACCCCTTTTCACCAAATTAATCTTTTCTCAGCCCCCACCCTACATCATCCACCATTCCAACTCTCCCTCATGCAGCCCCAGGGCTCTGCAGCCCCTGCCCAATGACATCCCTGCACCTTCCTTGGTTAACTCATCACTCTCTTCCTGCACTCCCTGCCTGCACACAGCCCAGCACTCTAGTCCTGTACCCCATGTATATCCCAGCACCCCAGTCCTGCATCCCATGTACAGCCCACCACCCAATCCCGCATCCTTTGTCCATGTATTCCTTGCACTCACCCTCCTGCAGCCTCTAAATTCCCCTCCTACACCCAAAAACGTCCTTGCAACTCCCTCCTGCACCCCCCACTCAGGTCAGCACCCTCGTCCTTCATCCCCCACCCATGCATAGCATTGAACCCCCACTCCCGTATCCCCTGCACCCCCTCCTGCACCGCCACCTATGCTCGTCCTTGCACCTCCCATTCATGCACAGCCTTCAACCCCACCTCCTGCCCTCCCTGTCCCGCTGTCCCCCACCTTGCAAGCCGAGAAGACCCCCAGCTTCTCCAGCTTCTTTCCGCGGGGGAACCCCCGCACCTGCGCCTTGCGCTGGCTCGCCCGCTGCTGCTGGCTCAGCCCGGGCCGTGCCGGGTCGCTGGATCCCGCTCCTCCAGCCGTTCCGCCGCTCGCCCCCGCCGCCCCCGCCGTTCCCGTCCCCGGGCCCGGCGGGGGCCGCCCGGGCTGCGCGGCCTCCGGCTCCGCCATGCCGGGCCCGGCGTGCGCCCCGCACTCACTGCGCCTGCGCGCCGGGAATGCCGGGATCTGTAGTTCGCTGCGGCGGGGGAGGTGGGGCCGTCGCTCCCGGGACGGCGCTCCCGGGGCCGGTTCACGTCACCCGCTGTCCCGAACGCGAGCAGAGGTCCCACTCGGGACTGCGGGTGGCGTGAACCGTCCACAAAGGATCGAGATCCAGTCATGACGCCCCACCCCGACAGCCCTTCACGGGGCGATGCCGCGCCGTCGGTGTCAGGAGAAACCCTCCCACCCCTCTGGTAACCGGTACCGCTCCCGGTCCGGCGGCGCACGACGCGCTCCGCATTCCGCGGACTCCCGCAAATATGGAGCATGGCCACGCCCTCTTCTCCAAATGCGGTGTGCGAGCCGCCCTCCGTCTTCCCGCAGCCGGCACGGGGTGCGGCTAAGCGCCCGGCGTGGAGCGTGGCCGCGCCTCCTGACCGGTACCAAAGAACCGGCTCCGCCCGCACGGCCTTTGCTGAGAGGCCGCGCCCACTCTCACCGTGGGGGCGCGGCTTAGAGTCGGGCTGGTTCGCGGAGCTGCGGGCAGCGCCTGGAACGGGCCAGCACTGGCGGGGGGGTACCGCACGGGAATGTTCCAGCACCATCCCAAAGATGGGAGTCAATTGTCCGAAGGCTACTCAGGGGGATGCTCAGGACCTCCCGGGGATTCTCAGTGCTACACATGGCCTGGAGCCCCTCGCCCAACCTCCTCTGCCAGGGCGGAGCTCTGCCAGCGCAGGTGCCAGGGACGCGCCCGGTTCAAGCACAGCCCCGTTCCCCACCCGGCCATCGCGCTGAGTGGGCACGGGCAAGAGCATTGCAAAGCAAAGTGCTGAGCAAGACCAGAAACACCAAAACCACACAAATAAAAGTTAGGAATATTTATTATATATCAAAAAAGCCGCATGTTTTGGGCAGACAACACCCCTCGGGCCACCGCGCAGTGCCAGCGCGGTCCCGCTCTGCGGCCAGCAGCTGCCCCCGTAGCCAGGCTCAGCCTGGTCCCCGTTGCTCCTCTTCAAGCCTTGGCCCGCTCGGCTCCCTCCTCAGTGCTGCCAGCTGGCTGTGCCACCGCCGGCCCCATCTGGATGGGCACGTTCCTCTCGGGAGCGGCCGGCAGTGCCAGCTTGGGGGCCTCGATGCGGAGCTGCCCATCCTTGGACAGGGAGCAGGTCAGCGCTTCGGCATCCACCTCCTCGGGCACGTCCCACTCCCGCTTCAGCACCTCGTACTTGTAGGAGAACGAGCCCTTCTCGTCTGTGCTCTGCGTCTCCTTCTGCCCCACCAGCACCACCTTCCTGCCCACCACCTTCACCGACAGCTGCTCGGGCGCAAAGTCCTTCACGTCCTGGCAGACAGAGAAGCCGTCACCGGAGCCCTGGGTCAGGGCTGCGCTGGTGCTGGACGCGCGGTCTGTGGTGATGCCAAGCCGCCCGGGGCTGCTCCCACTGGTCAGGTACTGCTCCACGCTGCTCATGAACTCCCGAGCCCTCTCCATTTCCAGCCGCATCTCCCGCTCCAGCTCGGCGAAGAGGGTGCCTGGATGTGGCCAGAGGGTGCGGACGGGTCCCAGCCACGGGAACAGCGAGCTGGACATGGGTGGCATAAAGTGCAGGCGGCAAAGCATCTCTTTTCTCAGCGAGTGCTCCTGGCTGTGCTGCAGCTCTGATCGGTGCTGGGTTGGGGCAGGGGAGCAGCGGATTTTATTCTCCCCTGCCCAGGGGTGTGTCCTTTCCAGAACGCTCTCTCCCCACGCACCCTCCTGGAGCCATCGCCTATTTTTGAGAGGCTGATTATCCACCAGCCAAAATAGCAGCGCCTGTTTCTGGGGACAAGTCACATGCCACAAATAGGGAGCCGCAGTCACTGCTGGGAGCTCAGGTTTCTGCAGAGCCATCGTGATGCAGCAGGGCCCATGGGGCCATAGCCGGGGGGCTACAGAGCCCTTCCCTGGCCTCCCTTCCGGGGGCTCAGTGGAGCCAGGCTCCACTGTGCCAGGAGCTCATAAATTCTGCCAGTACAGGGACTAGTCCCACCCCTAAAGTACATGTCTCATGTCATCTGCTGCCAGGCACTTCCTGCACTTTCTGGAGCCCCTCTCCTTGTTGGCCACCCCCATCCTGTCCTGACCCCTCAGCACCCCAATGTGCACTCCACCTGGGCATGGTGACTTCTGGTCTCACCTGAGGAGACTTCCGTGGACACAGATGGGGGGATATGGGCCACAGGTGAGGGTGGGGGGAAGCAGGGAGGAGACGAGCCGACACTCACTCCATGCCTGGGAAATGCAAAGGGCACAGATTTTTGGCAAGGGTGGCTCAGACATCCCGCTCGGAGGCTGAGGTGATGCTGCTAATTATAAGCCAGGAGAGCAGAGCTGTAAGAGTCAGGACGAAGGTATGTCGGGCACGACGTCAGGGGTGCCGCTCCTCACGGGTGAGTAACAAGAATGAGCTGGAACGGGCTGGAAAGAGCTGAGCTCTTCTCCCGAGGGTGACGTAATGTGGGAGACAAGGCCACGCCTCCAGCGAACGGGTATAAAAGGCTCCGACGGCAGCGGCGGGACAGAACGCTTCCAGCCCACTGGAAACGGGACAGAAGCAGCAGCAGCAGCAGCAGCAGCAGCAGAAGAAGAAGAAGAAGCAGCGATGCTTTGCCGGATGCACCTCGCCCCATTCGCCTCCAGCTCCCTGGCCAGCCGGCTGGGCACAGTGAGGACCCTCTGGCCACACGCAGAGACCATCTTCACCGAGCTGCAGCAGGAGATGGAGAAAGCTCGGGAGTTCATGAGCAGCTTCGAGCAGCTCCTGAGCAACCACGGAGCCATCGCTGCGGAGAAAGCCCCGAGCACCAGCATGACCCTGACCCAGGGCTCTGGGGATGGCTTCTCTGTCTGCCAGGACGTCAAGAACTTCGCTCCCGAGCAGCTGTCAGTGAAGGTGGTGGGCAGAAAGGTGGTGCTGGTGGGGCAGAAGGAGACACAGAATGTCGATGAGAAGGGCTCGTTCTCCTACAAGTACGAGGTGCTGAAGCGGGAGTGGGACGTGCCCGAGGAGGTGGATGCCGAAGCGCTGACCTGCTCCCTGTCCAAGGATGGGCAGCTCCGCATCGAGGCCCCCAAGCTGGCACTGCCGGCCGCTCCCGAGAGGAACGTGCCCATCCAGGTCAGCCCTGCTGCCCCACAGACCGGACCAGCTTCTGAGGATGGAGCCACCAACAAAGCCCAGGCGTAACAGGATGGGACCCGATAGCCACGGCAGGACCGGAGCAAACAGGAGCAAGTCCCGGGTTTTAGCCCAGACAAGCTCCATCAGCAATGATGTCATTTTTTTCACTAAACTGGAATGTTTTTGTATCCAATAAAAATACTTTTGCATTGAATCTTCTTGTGTTCTCTGGGTGTTGATTGATGGGGAGGCTGCACCCTACTCTTGGTGCCAGCGGAATGGGATGCACAGAGAGGGAAAAACCTTTCTTGCTTCTCAGGGCAGTACAAAATGGGTCCAGACAACAGATGCAGAGGATTCTGTGAGGGAAGGGAGGGGATCTGGGACCACTGTACTGCTATGGGAGGGAGGCAGGAAGGGCAGTCCTACTCACCTGTACGGGAGCAGCAGGGGTGTTGTCGCCCCTTCCTCACACTGCTATCAGCATCATCTCCACCTCCACAGCCTCGGCCAAAACCCATCCCCACAGAACCACATTGGGCTGCCTGGCTGGGTGTGGTGTGAGGCTGTTGTACCCACACTTTCCCCTTCCCAGCTTGGCAAAGGGCTGCTGGAGTCCACCCTGAGCTCCCAGCAGCAGGGAGTGAAAAGCCCAACCCCGGGTGCGGTGCATAACCACCACAAACACCCATGCTCAGGCCCAGGCAGGCAGCAGGTGTGTGGGCAGGTAGCAGGTATGCAGGCAGGAACGCCTGTTTGTGCTAAAGCTGCCCTGAGATCAGATAGCCCATTGCCCAGACACACCAGGAACAGCAGCAGGGCCCCAGCCTCAATACTGAGCACCTGCTCTGGCAAGCAGCAAGACCCTCCTCGGGGTATCACAGATGCCTCCACAGAAACTCCAAGTCTAGGAAGAAACCAGGCACCCAGGGAGAAGAGCCAGCAGATGGCAACAGCAGTGCACACAGTGCCCACTGAATTATTCTGAGTGGGATCGGGGAAGCTCTTCTCCAAATTGGTCCATCTCCATCTGGGAAACCACCAGCATCAGCCCACCCCACACTGTGAGCACTGGATGGGCCCACAGAGATCCTGGGCACCTCCAGCAGCTAAGCAGTCCAGGCACAAACAGCACCACGCAAATGAGGTGTAGTGGGGGCCACTGAAGCCCACATCCTACAGCTGGCCCAGGCTCAAGCATGATCCCAGGCACTCCATCACCAAATCACTCCAGACCCTTCCTGCTTCCAGGATTTTAAGGAAATCCAGCATGAGGAAGAGGCACTGAGACCTTGGATAGCAGATGAAGGGCACGCTAGCCAAGGCTGTTCATACAACTCTATTCACAGCCCTCCTGTGACTGAGCCTCTTGCAGCCCCTCAGGTGAGGGAGGCAGTGGGTTCCAAATGCAGCACATCTCCATCCTCAGCCTCTCCTGAGCAAGAATGGTGCTGCTGGCAGCACACATGGTAGGGATGGAGCTGCAAGGGGCTGCTCCTTCTTCCATATTGACTCCAGGTCCCAGGGTGTCGGGGTTTCATAATCCATGCAGCAGTGACAGGAGAGAAGCATGTTCCAAGGTCATCGTGCTCCAGTGACAGAGGCATTGTGTTCGTGAATCCTGGAGCACCATCCCAAGCCCGTCCCACTGCCAAGCAGAGCTCCTCCACACACTGTTCCCCCACCTCTTCCCAACTTGCATTATAGAGTTTCCCCAGAAGTTACAAGCAAGGAATAATTTCCACAATTTCCCTCAAGCTTCTTTGAGCACACTGGAGCCAAGAGAACACCAGCAGCATCACTGTGCAGGAGCAGCCACACAGCCCAAGCTCAGGAGCCCCATTTCTCTCTCCTCAGGAAGGAAGAGCCCCATTTCCCTACCAAGGTGTGGGACATACCAGGAGCAGCCCAGCACAACTCAGCCTCCACCAGAACTGTTGTACTCAGGTCCAGTCCCTGCTGCATTAAGAGACATGAACATTGTTGTTATGATAGGTTTATAAAAATTTTGTTTTAATCACACAAAACTGAAGTTTGTGATGAAGACTAAGTCAACAGTTCCTCTTAAATACCAGGATGCATAAGACACTGCATTAGGCACTAGGCAGCAGCCAACATCAGTTAGAGTCTGGCAACAGAAGCCATTTAATACCTCCCTTCATTCTTTGTGGAATTACAGGCTTTTGCAATACATGTCATTCCCACCGACAGGTTACCCAAGGTTTCCCCCACCCCACACCTCTGTACATCAGTAAACCTTGTGTATTCCCACCAGGGCAGGGTTAACAATATTAGTGGCATCACAACCATCAAGAAAAGGACAAATTTCTATACAAGATTTTTTTGCAAAAGTTGCAACAGGATTAGTGCATTACGACAGAACCAAGAGAAAAGAAGAGTTGGCATGCTGGAGTCCAACACAAAGAAAGACAACAGGCAGCTCGTTGGATGTACTATATTGACAAGATACTGATTGGTTACATGGAGAAACATACAATACAAAATACAGAAGAAACCAGTTTTGCTTCCCTCTGCCCCACCCCAAATACTCATCATTGATTTGGTCAATAAGTGGCCCAAGAGCCGGAGTTTGTCTCTAATGCTACAGTTTAGTGGTTGTTCTGGGCGCATCGTACGGGATCAGCCTCAGCTCTTACAGACAGGGAACTTTAAACACGTGTCCCATTATCCCTTTGTTTCCCATAGTGAACTACAGTGCTGTGGGACCTGGGTGCTGCTGGCCTCACCCGCGGGACGGCCACGCTGGCTGGGCAGACACCAGGTCCTGCATCCACCACCACCAGGAAGAGGGAAGAGCAGAAGTTCATATATTAAAAAAGTGACTTAAGACTTAGAATTGAATTAGTATTTGTACAGAAAGGTGCAGGTGGAAGAACTCCCTCCAGCCTATGATCAGAAAGGGATGGAGAATCACAGCGGCGCCGGCAGCAGCCGCCCTACGGTAAGTGCGATCGTTAGCGTGGGTTCCAGTCACGTCCTCCAAGGGCTCGCGGGCCGCAGCAGCTGCTCAGTTGCTGCAGCACTGGCTTCTGCTCGGCTGGCTGCTCTCCTGAAGGTCCACCACCCGATTCCTGCCTGGGCCACCAGGAGCACTCTGGGGTTCATTTTTTGGCAGTTTCTTGGCTAGAAAGAAACAGGGTGTTAAGCAGGGTTCTCCAGAGAGGCCAACCTCCTCCTACTGCACACCCCAGGCTGGGTTCAGCCTGCTCCAGCCTGAGCCCTCACCGACAACAGAGTTTGGGACAGGACAGACATGCAGCTTGCATTGCATGCCAAACCAACCCATCCTGAGCTCTGGCTGGCATCAGACCTGCTCCCATCACCATCCCAGACACAGGGATAGGGAACCAACTTTGCAAGGCTAAGGCTCCATACACTCAGGGAATGACCAATCACACCAGTGGGGCAAACTGGACACTGCCCCAGTAAGAGCCACCAGCTCTGGCTGACACAGTACCCTCTTGGGCTGCAGTGCTGGTGCTCAGAGCTACCCCAGCCCTACATGCAGGCCATACCTATTGCCATGAAGATTTCATTCACATTCATCGCTGTCTTCGCTGACGTCTCCATGAACAGCAAGCTGTTGTCATCTGCATATGTTTGTGCATCCTACAAACAATCACATCAGTGTGCTAAAGGCAGCCTGCCAGGAGGCCCAAGCAGACTTCATGCACTTCACTTGTCAATGCACTAATTGCTGGAGAAACACTATGTCCCACCTTGGGCCAGAAATTCTCTTCCCTGTCCCTGCCCCCACCTGGGGGGGCCTGGAAAACCCAGGGACATGCTCCACCAGCAGCCCTGCACAGCCAGTGTCCCACAGCTGAGCTGGGGCACAGCCACATGCACGCACAGCACCTGGGACCTGGGTCAGCTGGGAGTGTGTCACCCATTGCAAGGGCACCACAAGCGATCCTGTGCAAGGGCTGGGTAAGAACCTCTCCTGAGCACTCGCCTCAGATGAGGTAAGAGTTGTGAAGCACAGAGAACAAGCTAGGAATGATTCCTCATGTGTCTTGTACCCAGAAGATGCTGTTTCACACCCTGCAGACATCCCCACATGAGTAAGGCAGCAAAGGAGGCTGAGGACAGAAGCTTGTGCTCTGTGGGCCTCCTCCTCCACATTTACCAGGACTTTCACCAGCCAGGGCCACATGTGCTATGACAGAAGCAATGGAAGGGGCAGGGCACAATGGCATCCTGCAGTCCTCAGCACAAAACCTCACTTTCATTCTCCCTCAAAGCATATTTTACATAGCTGTCATCTCCCTCACTTAGAAAAGCATCTTTTTACTTGACCTGCTTGGGTAACAACTTCCCTGGATTCCCACTCACCTGGAAGTCCACAGCTCTCTTGTTAGCAAGGTCTGCCTTGTTTCCTGCTAGTGCAATTACAATATTGGGGCTAGCCTGCCTCTGCAACTCTTTCACCCAGTTCTTGGCTCGTACAAATGTGTCCTGGAAGCAAACAGGAGGCAGCAGTCAGGAAGGGCAGCCATGTAGGAATCCAGAGGGCAGATATGATTAGAGCAAGGCTTTCCTGTGATCAGCATTCTGCCTCTGCAGCACTTGGCAGCAGGATCCTTTATCAGCTCACAGCCTTGGCCAGAGCTGAGGAAGAGGCCATGAGCAGTTTTCAAGAACTTGGCACCCACAGCCAGGTACCTGCAGGGCTCTGACCCAGACATGCTCCCGGGGCACCGGGAGCCTCCTGGCCGCCCCCCAGCCCTGCCCACACTCACTGTGTTCGTGATGTCGTAGACCACGATGGCTGCCTGAGCCCCCCGGTAGTACATGGGGGCCAGGCTGTGGTATCGCTCCTGCCCCGCCGTGTCCCAGATCTCAAACTTCACTGTTGTGTCATCCAGACACACTGTCTGTGTTAGGAAGGCAGCTGCAAGAGAAGGGAGTTTGCCTCAGCTCCAGCAGGAGCCAGAGCAGGAGCTCAGAGCAGCTCTGCTGCCACATGGGAGCAGGCTGAGCCCTAGAGAGCCCAGAGCCACTCGCTGTGGCAGCTGCAGCTCTGCTGTGTCACACTCCCTGCTCACAGGAACCAAGAACCATCACAGTGACAGGAAGGTGGCCCAGAGGGCCCAGGCAGCAGCTGGCTCCTGGACCATCCACACTGCCAGAGCCACCCAGCAGCCCCTGACAGGGATCACACAGTTCAGCTGTGGTACCACCATGATCAGACCTGGGGAGCACCAATAACAGCATCAAACTCAGCCCACTTACACCACACTCCCCAGTTTAGTAACTGGTTGTTTTCATGTCCCAGTGAGTCTAACACCACGTGTAACACCCAGCACAAAGGCACAGGTGTCAAATACAGATTGAGACAGAGCACAGCCCTCCACAGAGGCGCATTAGGCCCTGCTTGCCAGTAAGCCACACTTTCAGCTGTGCTTACTCCCTACACAGATCACAGAGGGACAACTCAAGCCTTTTCTCAGGAGACCCCCCCAATATTGCTGCTCAGACACCCACGTGCCAACCAGCCTTTGGTAGATTGGTGATGCCATGCTAACGATTTCAAGCTAATAAAATACTAAATCTGAAAGCACTGTGAAAATAGTTAACAATATCAGGCTAGAAGCAGCCCCAAAATCCCAGGTCATGATCTGAAAAGATAATTAAGGGCTACAAACCAAGCTGAAGGCCTCAGTTCCAATTAGAAGCTGAAGCTGAGACACTGGAAACAAAGCCTCAGAGGCAAAGTGCAGGGTTGCCATAGCATTATTCTCTGCTGTGCTGATCACTACACCAACAAATTGTGAACCAAGAGTTAAAGCATTAACTGTTTGCCTCTATTTATAGCAAAAATCCCAGACCAGACCAAAATAGCCAGTCTTGCTTCTGACACCCCAGACTGCCCCAGCAAGGTCAGCACCTCCTGGCCACAGGCATCTGGAGCTGGCACTCACCTCCAATTGTGCTCTCCTGGTACTCGTGGAACTGCCCCTTCACAAAGCGCAGGACCAGGCTGGACTTCCCCACCGCGGACTCGCCCAAGAGAACAAGTTTAAACTGGCAGATTTTGTTCCCAGCAGCTGGTCCATTCGGTCGGGCAGCTCCACCTCGACCTGCCATTGTGGTCTAAGTGCAGGAGTGCCGAGAGTTAAGGATGCTGCAGGTTCTCTACTGGGATCCACCTGTAGGCAGGTTGCAACTGGAAGAGGAGGTCAGAGTTAGTGATAGGCTCAGGGACCCGCTGTACCAGTTCTAGAGGGTGGTTTGATCTGCAGCCATCAGCACAGACTGGTGGTGGTTCCTTCCACAGTGGAGAGTTATCAGCTGTGAGCACCACAGAGTAGATCCCACCAGGCAGCAGCCCTCAGTCTGCAGAGCCTCTCTGGAAAAGAGGTAATGGTAATACAAGCTCTCCTCCCCACCAATGGGCCCTCCAGCACTTCCACCCTGTATGGATGTTACACACACCTTGCTGGGGTGAGGCAAGTAAAGAGCACTCAGTACACAACGGGTGTTGCTAGAGCTTTGTCTATTGAAACAGCAATTACTCAGTTCACAGAGGTAACTGAGCTTGACCTTTAGCTCCCTCCTCCTTTCCCAAGCTCACAAGGAAGCACTTCAGATTACCAATATTATACAGAGCCATCCCAGTGATACAGTGGCAGGAGGCAGCTCTACAGGTCATGAGGCATTTGGACAAAAGAAGTTTCTAGAGCTGTGTTTTCATCCTGAGGTACTTGCATCACAACATTCTGCACCTCCGAGCAGGCCCAAGGATGGCCCTGGAGCCAGGCAGGTGGTCTGGTACAGGGGGCACACCTGAGGAGGTGCCCACCCCAGAAAGGCACCTGCTTTGTGGGCACAGGCTGTCCCCTCTGAAGCTGACAGCAGCTCCCACTCCTGCCGCACACCAGGAATCACCACCCAACCTGATCCAAACAGAGGCAGTACCTAATGCTTCCCACACCCATCCCACTGCCTCAGCACCCTTATCCCACAGCATTCCAGGTCATCAGGCTACTGGCCACGTTCCTCACATGGGATCAGCATTCCCTGGGATCAGCACTGCCAACCACTCCCCAGCACCAACCTCTCGAGTGGTGCAGAAGCACAAAACCATGGCAGGAACAGCAGGACAAGCTAATTTGCATCCAGAGTTACCCACAAGTGAATCCCAGGGCCTCCCTAAGTACTAAGCTCTGCTGCCTGCAGAGAACAGGAATGCTTTCCAAGTACACAGTTACAGATTTAGGCACATTTCCTGTACCCTTCACAACTCCCACTTCCCTGTGGATGATAAATGCTACAGCTGATTGCATCTGCTCTGGATCACCACTTTCCCTTCTACTCGCCTAACACAGGCTGTTTGTTGAAAGAAAATGCCCCAAAAGCCAATTTCTCCTTGTCCTGAGAGTATCCCCAAAGAGATCCTGTATACATCCTGCATTTTCCCAGCCAATATTAGATATTCATGAATAAGAAGTTTAAAACAGGTCAAACGGGAGCAGTGTCCTGTGAACAAGGCTCAAGCCTCCTCAGCACAGAGGAGAGTTTCAAACAGCTGCTTTCCAGAGCAAGGCCTGTCCAGCTGTGACTGCTTGAGGTTACTTTATGCCTCAAGTTTAAACAATCACATATTTGATAGCTTTGACAGGGAACCTCAAGCCATTTCAGAGCTATTCTGGAGCCTGTGAGTGCCAGCAGCTGGAGAACCTCAACAGTTTACACAACACAAAGCACTTGACCATACACTGACCTAGAGATATCTCACCTCAAATTGCTCTGACCAGAAGGCAGTCAGACACCAGCTGTTAAGCCAGTACCACTCACTGGAGCTGGCAGGTAGGACAGAAACCAAGGAGTAAAACTTATGAGTGCTGTGGGATGTTTCAGGAGCCAGAACTGTGAAGCCATTGGTCTGAGTCCAGTCTTAAGTTAAGCAGCAACGATATTCTAATTCAGAACTGGGTCCTTGCAAGTAGCATGGTCAGGATTCCCCTCTCTCTTCTGAGGAAGGGCAAACACTGTTTGACAGGATGAGAAAGCTTGATATGAAACAAACCAACAACTGGCTTTGCTGGACAGTGAGGGAGCAGTTCGGTTGTTCTGGCCAGCAGCAGCTTGGTCACTGCAGGTTCAACAGGCTCAGCAGCAGCTTTGCATCTCTACCAGCCTGAAGAGGCTTCCACCTTTTAGAGTTTCCCCTCTAAATAGAGCTTGCAAGGGAACAGCTTTGGTTTAATATTGTATTTATAATTCCCTGGGCAGTCTATCAGCTCCACTACTGCTCCAGACCAACATTCTGCACTAACACTGTGTGAATCACAGTGTGTCTGAGTTATGGCCTCCCGAAATCTGATAGCAGTGAATCCCAGAGCAAAACAGGAAAGTGAACTTGTTGACATCCTCAAGTCTTAGCCTGACCTATATTTCACAGATCTTGATGCATTTTGCCATCTGGTTGTGCTACATGAACTCCAATGGAATTAGGTGAGCACATCTGTGTTGAGCTCACCATGGACAGCCACTGGTCAGAGCAGCAGCCAGAGCCTTGACTGCTCCAATTATGGAGAACTGGATCATCATCTAAGGACAGTGTGAAGACTGGATACAAGATTATATGTTTTCATGTCCACATGAGAAGTTGCCATATCTTTCAGATGTTTGAGGGGAATTTAGAGACCCTAAGTGGTCACTGATGGCCTTGGGCTAAGGGCATACCCAAGACCTGGATGACCAGCTGATGGTCACAGGAAGAAGCAAATAATTGAAGGAAGTGCCCACCAATGCTGCAGACAGCGAGCACACTCTGTGGCAGGACGGGCACTTTCTGCCAATGCCAATGTGTTAGAGGACTCCAGTGAGACAGAACTCAGCTCTGCAGAGGGAACAGGCAGCTGAACTACACAGCCTGAACCTGTGCTGGATCAGCCTACACCCACCACTGGACACTGACCTGAGGAACAGGGACTGCTTTTCCTGCTATATGAAGCCATTTCTGATGCTTGGGGAGCTGTTCATCCTCCCACCTCTTCCAGCAGAGAATTGGGCATTCACCCCTCCCTGCTCCTCAGGAGAACCCCAGCAGTGACACTCGAGCCATGGGTCAGGCAGACCAAAATAAGCACAGTGATACCACAGAAACAGGGAAAGCAGCTGAAGGCCCAGCTTGTCCCAGCCTGCCATGCTAATTCAAGCCATCAGGGCCATGAAAAGGAAGGGAATGGTGGGGTACTCATGTAATTAAGATTAACAAGCATTAATTTTCCTGCTAGTTTCTTTTAACTAGTGAAGCCCAGCACTTGGGAGATCACAAGACCCATGAAAAGGCTCATGCTGGTTTGTTTACCTGCCCTACCCACCTCCTGCTCACTGAAGCACACACAGGAGCTCTGCATCCCACAGCAAAAGCACTGATTTTTTTATTGTGAACTCTTAACATAGTTTCTTGTTTACTTTGAGATCAAAGTCAATTCCTGATGCTGTCCCACAAGTGAGAGCTCCAGGTCTATCAATTCTACAGTTCATGCTCCTCCAACCCTTCCTCTGCCTGCCAGAGTTTGCTGAAGCAGGCTGCACACAACCAGGAATATTAAATTCAAGAATCTGAGTGCCATAAATGATAAAGCACATGCCATGGCTGTTGTACTCCCTGCCCAAGTGCAAGACCATTCTCCAGAGCACTCAGGATGGTGGGGAATAGCACCAGAGACCATTCCCAACAAACCTACCCAGAACAAGAACACAAATTTTCACAGGGGAATTCCTGTCAGATCCCCATGTTAGCCCCTGCAAAAGACCCTACCACAGGGAAGCTGCTCATTTAAGGTGTCAGAAGTTAGAGAATCTGATATTTCTGCCCTGTGTTCACCCAGTAGCAATGACTACTCTGAAAGCTGAGGATATTTAGAAACCCAATCCTGAAGACTCTGGTTACCCAAAGGACTGCTGCTGCTCTCAGCTATGCAAGGAGTTGCTTCACTGGGGATTTGTTGGCTTAGAACCAAAATACTCAAGACAAAAGCCCCAGTGAAGTATTTATCTCATTAAATAGCTGACAGCGTTACATGAATTCCTTGGCAAAGGAAGCCCTGAAGTTACCCAGTGGTTTTGCTTCACCTCACACTGCATGGCCAGCTGGCCCAGGGCTGCACAGTCAGCTTCAGGACAGGTCAGCTTCATGGACTGGAGCAACTTCCATGAGCAGGATCAGCAGAAAGTGTGTGTCCTACCAGAAACACATGGACCATGCTAGCCCAGGCTAGGACAGCATGGAATGTCAACCTAATATTCCAACTCATCAATATGATTAATAAGAGCAAACTTTCCTGAGCCTGACTGGAGGAGAGTCCAGACTACAGAGAAAGGAGGAACAGACCCAGCTGTTGCAGAGGAGATGAACCAGGAAACATTCAACTTACATACCTCAGTCCCAACCAGTCTTATGAGTTCCAATACTCTACCTTTCCACAGACAATACTCTACCTTCCTGCTTCCCCACCCCCCACAAAGAATGAGTTCTCAGTGCCCTGATCAGCAAGGATCCAGTCTGGATTTCAGGAACTGCTCTGAACTGGGCTATTCTCCACTTCAGCTGGCAGGAGCCGCACTACAGCCCTAAAGAGCAGATTCAGAGAGCCAAATCAGCTCAGACACCTGTTTCAGCAGCACTTCTATGGCTACGATTATGATAGGGTAACAACTTCTCTGTGCATTCCAAGTCCAAGACTCACAAAGACTTGGACATGCTCATCTTAATTTTAGAGGTAAATAGGACTTCCATCCCAAAGTCGAACTGCTCATTCAGCTACAGACCTGAACTAGTACCAGCTCCTTCTCATGCTGTTGATAAACCCATCTGTTTCCTGACATTTGCACATCCAGGGCCTCTGGAGCAGCCCCAGCAGCCAGCTGTTTTCCAAAGCAGCTTTTCCAAAACAACTCTATCCTCAGAGATTTCAAGGCCACCACCCTGCTGTGACAATCCTTCGAGCACAGACTTCTGTGGAAGAGTTTTACATCACCTCCATCTCCCATTAGCTGCCCAATAGCTCCCTAGCCCACAGTAGCTCCCTCTTGGATCCATCATCCACTTTCAGTTACCCTTAGCACAGCAAGGCTGGAGCATCAACTCATGGATGCAGCCTGGACTGACTCAAACGGAACAAAAGCATCAAGGTTTAAATTCTTCAGCCAAGGTTGTTTAACTCCTATTCCTGATACTGACTCCTGTTCAGATGCCCACAACAGACACAGCTTCACTTTCACCAGACACTCAGCAATACATCCCTTGGATAGCACCCACTATTGCCAACAAGAAAGCAACATCAGCAGTGCAAAGCAGCAAACTGCCACCTGCACTGCAAAGAATCTGTGACCTTCAGAATATCTTTCCCAGACTGCACAAAGATCTCCTGCCTCAAGCAGCTCCTTATTTGGAGCACTACCAAACCAAAGCAAACATGAAAACCAGTGTTTTCTTATCTGTTTATGCAGAATTGCTCCAGCAGCTCATTCCTGTGCTCCAGGGGAGAACAGCATTCTCCCCAGACCTCAGATGAATTTTATACCTCCCCAGTACTGTCACATCCAGGAAGGTTCCCCGTTTCTGGTTAGTGTCTGGAGTGCTTTCCCTGTTATTCTGACAACTTCTCAGACTTGCATAAGAGGCTGCAAACTTCATACCCCAAGGGAAGAAAACAGCTGACTCCAACATTTCTACATTCTATCCTCTTTTAAGTCTGCTGACAGGAATACTCTGGGCTACACCCACTTCATTAGAAACGTTCCCATTTCATTTCCTGTGTCGGAAAGCACTTGGCATTCCTTCCCCCTCCCTCTTCAGGGAGATGCCATGACCACCATCCACTAACTGTGCAGCAGCTGAAGAAGTTTGGATCCAGAGCTGATGATTGGCAGGGCCTAGAGCAACCCTCGAGCTGATCCCTGTTGAGATGCAGAAGAGCTTTGCTGTGATGGAGATAATCCCACATCTCAGCACAACAATTAGGTTTGGCCAAGCACACACACATCACCAGACAGTTCCTTTACACGCTGCCCAATGCATCACTGGTTTCACAGGAAAGCAAAGTGTACTCTACTAATGCAAAACCAGATAAATGTTTTATCTTACTATATTCATATCCACATGCCAAGCCAGCATTTCCCTCATGCTCTCTAGCAGCTCAAACCCTCTCCAGGAGTCCATCTCACCTTGCCGGGGTTGTTCCATCACCTGAAGAGGCATCAGCACCTACTTACAGAGCCTACAGGGACCCCCCACTGCCTGCACAACCTGCAACCAATTGCGAGCTAAACCGGCCAGAGCATCTTAGGAGAGAAGGTCACCCCAGAAGCACATTTTTGGTGTGAAGGTATTGACTGGTCCAGCAAACTACTGTGACTCATGAGGGGTCTGAGATGATTTCAACACAGAAACCCAGGTATGACCCCAAACATTCCTGTCTTTGGCCTCCCAAATCTAGCCAGGCTTGTGCTTTACCTGCTCACCTCACTCCAAGAAGGTACCAAGATCAACATTGTCTTGTAGCTGCCTATAGGTACTATCCTGAATTCCTAGCCCTTTTCAGACATAGTTCTTTCACCTTATTATCCAGGTGAGCTGAAAAGAAATGCAAAAGACTTTCAGAGTCAAGGCAGTACTGGACATTACCGGGCATTTCCAGGAGGCTCACTCAGACTACATGGCATGTCAAGACAACTAGACTGAGTTTACTTTTTTGACCCCAGCCAGGGCTCAGAGCCGGCTCAGGAGCCCCAGCAGAGCACAGGCCCAATGTCAGGCTGTAAACAGGGCAGCTCAAGTGTGCTGACCCTCCACACAAAAAGCTAAGAATAGCAGATGCAAGTTGTTCCACACCAGACTTAAAATAGTCCCTCGACATATTCCCCTCTCCAACTTCCTTACAGGATTGAAAACAGCCAAGGTCAGAGCTCCAACAGCCACATCCGAGGGCAGCAACGAAAGGTCAGCTGGGCCAGGGTCAGAGCTGGGCTGGGCTCCTTGCAGGTCCCAGCACCACTCACAGCTCCTGCCCAGCCCCAGGAGCTCTGTCAGCGCCTTGAGCATCACCTGGAATAAGGTCTGAGCAGTTTCCCCAGGATTTAGCAGGGCAAACCTGTTGCTCGCACTCACACCTGCACTCCTGGTGTAATTCCACCAGGATCCCACATCAATCATACGCCCAGCTCACACACCAGAGTCTCTCCTGTTGTGACAGAGATGCAAGGACAGCCTTGCTTGAGGTTCCCTTACCGATAAGCCACAAAATGTCCTTGCAGCCCGTGGGCCTTGCTCAGGGCCTTACAGCACCATGGGTTTCCCTTCACAAGGGCCCTCGAGGCTGTGCTTGGCACCAGCAGTGACCCAGGACAGTCTCCCTTGGAGCCCATTTACAGCAAATCAAGTCACCTCCCTCATTTCAGCAGTTCCCAGGAACTCAGCTGGGCCTCCCAACTCCACTGGAGTTTCTATTCCTGCCTCAGAGGCTGAACAACTACTACAAAATATGACTCCACTATGAAAACCCCTTCTGTCCTAGCACCACATCTTCTTCATCCCATTCAACTTTCAGTCAGTCACGGCTGTGAGAGATGGGAGCTGGGGCACAGCAGCCAGACAAACACACGGTACCGGCGGCAGGTGCTCGTTCCCGCTGTCCCGCGAGCCGCTCCTGCCCACAGCCAGCCCGGAGGAGCCTGACCCGAGTACCACAGCGCCGCCGGGACGCCTGCCCTGAGCCAGGCACCGTCCGCGGCCGTGCCGCTCCCCCCACCCAGCGTGGCTCCTCTCCCGTTACCGCTCACCAAACGCCGGTACCACCAGGCCGGAGCTGCCGGTGCCCCGCGGCAGCGCCGCTCCCCGGCCTCGCAAGACACGCAGGGCCTCGCTAGGCCGACACACGGCGAGAGGGGATGGTACCCAGTCGACCAGAGCCCCCGCCCCGCCGGCAGCGGCAGCGCCCGTCCGGTCCAGCCCCAGCATCGCCCCGCCCGGCACAGCGGCGCCACCGAGCCCCCGCTCCGCTCCCGCCATGGGGCCCCCGAAGCGGCGGGGCCCGGCTGCCACCCTCGGCCGGACTAGATCCCCGGGAACAGGTCCACACCCTCTGGCCGAGCCCGGCCACCTCAGGACGAAAGGAGCGGCCGCGGCCACACTCACCGCCCGCAGCGCCGCTCCCGCCGGTGCGTCTCGCAGGCCCCGGCCCTCACTTCCGCCTTTACCCGTTCCGCTTCCGGACCCGACCACCCCTTCCGCCCCCCACTCGCCGGCCACAGGCAGACGCAGCTGCCAATCACCTGTCCCCGCCCCACCCTCGCCCCGCCCCTGAGACGCACTGCCCCAGCAAGCTGGGCGTGACGTCATGCCCCCCGCGGGGACTGCTGGGAGATGTGGTCGGGGGCGTCCCGGCGCCACCGGCCCTGTGGGGGATTCGAGGCGGGGGGGGCCTGGAGAGGGCGGGGCGGCTGCGGGCAGAGACTCAGCGGAGCCGGGTCTGGAAAAATAGAACCTTTATTTCTCAGTGTCGCGGGGAGCGTGGGAGAGGCGGGGCGGAACAACACGAACTACAGCCGCGGAGGGGCGGTAGCGGCCGCGATCCCCGGGCAAGCTGGAGACCTTACCGGAGATCCCTATGGATCCCCCTCGCCTCCCCCCGCCAGATCCTCGCTGCTCCCGGCCCCGCCACGTCCCACGGTCCCGGGCAGGCGGGGCTGCCGGGCCCGGCCGGGCTGTAGAAAACGCCCCGTGGGCTAAGAGTATAAAACCGTATCAAAATCCCTGCGAGTGTTCCGAGTGCGGCGTCCCGGGGAACTGCGGGGGCAGGCCCCCCTTCCCGGGCAGAGCGGAGACCCCCGGTGCCCGCGGGGTCAGTGGGAGCTGGTGGAACCGGTTCGCGGCTGCGGGCGGGTGCGGGTGCAAGCCCCGGCCGAGCAGCCGGGGAAGGAACGGGCGGAGCGGGGCGGCAGCGGGGGCGGCTGCGAGTCCGAGCCCCGGCGAGGGTCGGGGCCGGGGCTGTCCCCCCGCGGCGGGCGCGGCCCCTCGGCGCCCACCCAGGGGTGCAGGGCAGCGGCGTGGGCAGAGCGGCTGCGGACGGGGCAGCGTTTGGCCCGGGGGCTGGCGGAGGGGGAGCTGAGGGAGCTGGGGGGCACCGGGGGCGAGGGGGGCAGCGGGGCAGCGGGCGGTGACGGCCGGGGAGGCAGCGAGACGGTCGCAGGCAGACGGCAGGGACAGGCTGGGGACTGCGGGGTGCCCAGGTGACCCTTGAGCAGCTCCATCATATTCTGCAGCTCCCGGCTGAGGTGCGAAACCTCCTGGTTGAGGTGGTTGATCTAGAAAAGGACAGACAGCAGTGAGCACCGACCGACGTCCCCGGGTTTTTCGGGGACATGCACCCACCTCTGGGCCCCACCACACCTCCTGGTTGAGCCTGCTCATGTTCTGCTTTATCTCTTCTGCCTCCATCACCAGGGCTGGGCCGACTGCATCAGTCCCTGCTGGGGAAGACACAGACAGAGGTGGAATACCCTGCCAAGCCTCCCGGCCCCAGGGCCAACGCTCTGGCCTTGCCCGGCAGCTGCTGGCAGTACCTGAGGTGGGGGAGTCCCTTGCCGCGCTCGGCAGCGGGTCCACATTGAAACAGAAGGTTTGTGACTCTGAAGTCCCTCCGTTGTCTTCAATCCCATCCACGACTCTGGAACAGGAGGGGGTGAGAGTTGCCCCGTGTCACCCCCTCACCTCTCTGCCACCATCTGAGCAGCCCCCCAGGGCCCCTCGCAGCCTGGCTGGCACAAACCCGCAGTAGCGGGATAAGCCACATCCCAGCGTACCTGGGACTGAGGTCGGGCGAGCCGTAAGTGTGCAGGGAGGGGATGAGGAGCTTGGCCGGCTTCCTGCCCACGCTACCATTCCTCTCCCGGAGCCGGGTATCCCGCCGGCACTGTGGAGAGGGGCTGCGGCTGCCACGGGCTGGGGAGGGGCAGTTGTGCCGCGGGGCTGAGACCTGGCACAGCTCATCGCCCAGGAGGCTGCTCAGGGAGCCACGGCGCACTGAGCTGCTCAGCGCGGGCAGCAGCAGCTTGCGGCGGGAGGCGCTGGCAGGGGACTGCTGGAAAACCTCTTCGGGCTCCTCCTCATCCTCCACAATGGAGGGAAGGGGCTTCTCCGGGGCAGCACCGCTCTCCGGACGAGGCTGCAGGCGGGCAGGAGGTCAGGACTGGTCCCAGCCACAGCCATCCCTGCCCCGTCCTCCCCCATCGCCTCGGCAGAGGACGAACCTGTGGTGCCTGTGACAGCCTCGGGGATCGGGAGTAGCGGCAGAGCCCCTGCGGGGAGAGCAGACGGTACCGGCTCAGCAGCAGGAGGGAGTCCCTGCACAGCTCCACAGGACCAGTCATGGGCCCGCAGTCCCCCAGCCTCTCAGTGCCCCTTTGGACAACCAAGCCTTCACCAGCCCCACACATCAGCCTCAGTACCAGCCTCCACAACCCCTCACCCACTCTCCTTCCTCTGCTGCTGCCATGTCAATGATGAGCTCAGACCCAACCTCAGCCTGAGTGTCCTGAGCCAGAGCGGAGGCTGCACCCCAAATCCCAGCCCCAGCTCAGCCATCAGAGCATCAGCTTTGTCTGGAGTATGCAGCCAGCTGGGGAGGGTGACACAGGTGCAGAACCTGGTGCACACTCCTGGCATTCTCCACTCTTGGTCTGTTTCCACCCCTCCTGTGTTATGGGCATGGTGGGTCTTGGTAGAGCTGTTTGGTACCTAGAGATTGACCTCCTGCACCACCTCCATCAGGCTCGAGGGGAAATTGGGTACCAGAGAGATGCTCCAGAGGAGCTCCAAGCCTCTCTCAGCAGAGCTGAGGGAGGAAAAGTACAGCAGAGCCATTTCTGCAGCAGAACATCCCCCCGGATGCTGGAGCCATCAGCATGACTAAACCCACAGCCCCCAGCTGTGTGCTGCACTCCAGGGCTGTACAGCTGTCTGTTCTGCAGTCTATCCTGAAGTACCCCCCAGTTCTCTCCAACCACATTTCCAAGCCTTCCATCTACCTCACCCTCCTGCATTGCAAATGGTCTTTCTGTCAATTCCCCAGGTTGCACAGAACCAGGACAGGACATACCTGCATGCTGGGGTGGCAGAGCTGCAGCCCCTGCCCCAGCCTTGGAGCCTGGGGACTGCGAGCAGGGAGTGCACAGACTCCTCTTCCATGGCCATGCACAGCCCCAGCCCCAGGGCCATGAGGACAGGAAGGGGCCTGAGCAGGAGGACACGCACCCACCTCCATCTCGCTGCCCTCCCGCAGGTTGAAGGTCAGGTCCTGGTGGATGTCAGCTGTGAACTTGCTGGCGTACTCAGGATAGAGCTGTAGCACTTCACAGAGCCCTCGCAGCCCAATGTGCTGGAGGTCGCAGTAGGTCAGTGCCTTCACGTCTGCATTGGTCTTGATCACTTGGTCTGTGCTGCACAGGTCGGCTCCAATCAAATCCCCTTTGCCTGCAGGAGGGGACCAGGGGTGGGCTAGTGACACAAGCCCGGACCCCCTCACTCTGCCGGGCAGCAGGAAGGGCCGGGACAGAGCCCACGCCGCCTGCCCTCACCGAGGATGGCCAGGACCACGTTGTCCTTCAGCACTTCGAGGGAGCCGGAGCAGACGAAGTAGTTGGCCTGCAACGCGTCGCCCTGGCGCAGCAGATACTCTCCCGGGGCACAGAATGAGGTCTTGATGTGGAGCGAGAGGGAGCGGAGGCAGCCCCGGCTGGCCGTCTCAAAGATGGGCAGCTGCAGGATGTCCTTGTTGAGGTGCATGGCCACATCCGCACGCAGTTCATCGGGGAAATCGTGGAGCAGCTGGGGAGAGAGGAACCGGGGCTCTGGGCACAAGGTACAGGGTACAGGGAGCCGCTTTCCTGCAACCTGGCAGCCCCAAGGGACAGGTCCCCCTCCGGAGTGGGGAATTTCATTGCTGAGCTGCCCTGGTGTCTCAGCAGTGCTCAGCCGTCCTGACTGGCAGAGGCAGGCCCTGTGGTAATCAGCTGCTTCTGCTCCATATGCCTGTCCTGCTCCCCATGCTGGCAGGAATTTGCTCCAGACCTGGTCCCTCCAGCAACACTCTGAGCTGGCCCTGCCAGCCCCATCGTTCCCCTGCTAGGTGCAGGTCAGGGCTGGAGGGGGCTGCCCGACCAACACCTCCTACCTCATTAGCATCAATGCCGTTGTTCACCGACCAGGTGGTCTGGAAGTACTCTAGCAACCTCTGCTTGAGCTGCTGGGGCAGGTGATGGACGCGGATGAAGTCCTTGAGGTCCTTCATGCGGGTGTGGTAGAGCGAGCGGCGCGAGTACATGCGCTGGATGATGGCAGTGACATTGCCAAAGACAACGGCGTGCATCAGCGCTGGGGACAGGAGGACAGCGTCAGGCCCAGCAAGGGGCAACTGGGGGCACAGTATGGGGGGCACAGCACGGGGGACTGCTCCCCAAACTCCAGCCCAGGGCTGTCTCACAGGGAATATACTGGAGGCCCATCACCTCCCCCAGCACCCTGCCTAGGACACAGTGCTCTGGCAGCCTGAGATGAGTGCCCTGCCCAGCCCCACTGCTCGCCTCACCCCCAATGAGCATGGTGCAGATGGAGAAGATCTTCTCGGTGTCAGTGTTGGCACAGACATTGCCGAAGCCCACGCTGGTCAGGCTGCTGAGGGTGAAGTAGAGGGAGGCAATGTAGGCGCTACGGATAGAGGGGCCCCCCAAAGAATTGTTGATGTAGGGAGCCTCCAGCCTCTTGCCCAGCTCGTTCAGCCAGCCTGCCAAGCACAGCCCGGGGTTAGCACTTGCAGGAGCCAGCTGAGAGGGCTGTACCCCTGGCACTGCTGTCCCACAGCACAGCGGTGATCCCAGTGTTCCGGGCATGCCTCCACCCCTCACTCACCGATGTCCCAGGTGCGGGGGTCGTCGCTCTCCAGCTCCTTGCGGCCGATGACGTACCAGATGCAGGCCAACCAGTGCGCCAGCAGGGCAAACATGGACATGAGCAGCGTGAGCACCATGGCGCTGTACTGCGAGTACCGGTCCAGCTTCTGCAGCAGCCGCAGCAGCCGCAGCAGCCGCACTGTCTTCAGCAGGTGAACCAGCGAGGTCTGGGGGGCAGACAGGAATGTGAACCCAGTGTAGCTGCAGGCAGGGACAAGAAGGGACCCCAACACCGCCCCTGCTGCAGGAATCCTTTACCACCCCCACAGCTGCCAGGAGGGTCATGGGTTACAGGGCAAGCCAGAGGCAGCTCATCTCCAATCAGCCTTGCACCCCTGTGCCAAACACCCAGCAGGCAGCCAGGGTTGTGGCTTGTCAGGGCACCAAATATCCCCAGGAGATGTGGGTGTTGGAGAGGGGCAGGGAGGTGGGCAGTGGCTTTGCTGTCAAAGGCTGCGTTTGTGCCAGCAGTACTCACCACAGTCACATTGAAGATGTAGAGCAGATCGAAGGGCAGAGCAGCGATCAGATCCACAAAGAACCAGGTAGCCACGTAATGGATGCAGATGGAGCGAGGGTCGTACACAACCTGACCCGACTGGCTCACGTATGTTGTCCGGAAGTTCAGGATGATATCTACCCCAGGAGAGCAGGACCAGCCCTCACCATCTCTTCTATGGCTGGCAGAGCTGAGACAGCACCCACAGCCAACACTGGTCTCATTTCTGGTGTGCCCAGGACCAACAGTAGGGGCACAGCAATCCCAACTCCCCTCTCCATCACCCCTCATTCCTGCCCCAGCATGTCCTCTATCTTGGATCAGTGCTCAGCCCTGCACACAGACCTACCCAGGATGAAGAGCATCTCTACGGCGATGTCGCTGACAATGGTGCTGCGGGCAGCTGAGAGACTGTCCTCTGTACCCGTGAAGCAGACATTGTAGGGGACAGTGATAGCCACATAGAAGGTGGCCAGCAGGATCAACCAGTCCCAGAGTGCCTTGAAGATGCTGTAGTGGAGCAGGATGAAACGGGACTTCTGTATCGAGGCCACCTTGTACTCGGGGATGGACGGCTTGTTCTCAAACATGTTCTGCAGGAGCAAATGTGGGGTGGTAGGGGACATCCCACACGAGGGGTGAAGGCCACCACAGCCACCCGTTCTCCTGAGTACTGCCAACCCGCTGGCACCCCTTGATTCCAGAGTGATGACACCCTTTTCCTGCACTATGGTCACCCTCAGAGATGGGGACAGCAATGAGAACCAATTACAGCACATCGATTAATGTGATGTCATTGCTGTTAACAGTAATTCCCTGGCAATGCCAATCGCTGACTGGAACCATCTCAGGTGCCAATTCAAACGCTGGGGCAGAGGAGGGAAGAGGTGACTGCAGACCCAGAGCCATCCCACCCAAATCCCCAAAATTAAGACTGGGGTCCCGATATCCTTTGCACCAGCTCTGGGATGCAGCAGCACTTGGACCCTCTCTCTGGCCCATACTTGCAGATACTGGGCACAGCAGCAGTGCAAAGGGGCTGGCACAGGACTGACTCTGGTCTCTGCCCCATCTGGCAGCTCCACAGCTCTGGCACCTTGGTAACAGCACTCCCCAGAGCCAGCATGGCTGTGCTCAGAGCCAGCACTGGGGTTTCCTGACAGCGAGTGTGTGAGGAGAGGCACAGCTCTGCCAGAGCTGCCAGGTCTGCTGTCTCAACAGCAAGCCCTGAGCACCCACTGGATTCTTCTGCTGCCAACCAAACACAAGTGCAGCCTGGCTACAGCGTGGCTGCTGGAGCTGGGGGGAATTTCAGTACTTGGAAAGCCAGGGAGGGATGTGCATGTGAACAGCATCCTATTGAGCCTGGGCTTTGCTAGGAGCTGCTCTCAGGAGAGCTGCTGCACTGCCAATTCACCACAGCCCCATCACGAGAGGCATTGGGCAAAACTGAGGCTCCCCCAGCTCCTTACATGGTTCATTTTCACCTCGCCATGGTCCCTCCGGATAAACTGGCAGCTGAGCTGGTGTAGCATGGTCCGGCCCTGCCTCCGTGCAGCCCTCAGGTGGGGGTTCCCAGGTTTCTTGCTCCTCTGCTTCTCACTCTTCTGCTTCTCTGCAGTGTACAAGGAGTTAGTGAGAGTGCTGTGCCATGAGAGAGTGCTGCCCCATCAGGGAACAGGGAACCCCTTTGCCACTTGCCCACTGCACACACTGCTCCCTGAATCCCATCCCCATTCTACAGCCATGGCTCACCCTCCTTCTTGTCACCAGGGCAGCTCCTGCCACGGCTCTCTGTGATGTCCTTGAAGGAAAAGAGGAAGAGCACCACCTCCCCCTTTTCATTCTTGATGGGCATGATGTCCAGCAGGCACCAGAAGGCAGCTCCTGGGTGGAGGAGAGAGTTGGTGAAGGCAGGGAAGCTCCCCCACCACTCATCAGCTTCCCCCCAGGACCACGATGGGGCCAAATCCCTGCTGGAGCTGTGGCCAGGAACCCAGTCACATGTGCCACTCACCACCCTTCTTGTAGAAGCAGACCTCAGTCTGATACTCCTGCCTGCTTTCCAGTGCCTTCTCGATGCTCTGCAGGGTGGGCTCGCTGGTCTCAGCCCCACAGAGGAAGCGGCAGCTGCAATTCTTCTGCATGACCTCGGTGCGGGCAAAGCCGGTGAGGTCGCAGAAGCCATCAGAGCAGTAGACGATGGGGAAGCCACAGCGGCCCTGCGCGTTTGCCAGGATGAAGTTGCTATCTGAAAGGAGACATAGCTGCCCCCGAGGCCTTGGGGCCACCTCAGAGGGCGAGAACAGCAGCCCAGCCTTCCTGGACCCCCACATGTCCCTCTGGGAAGTGAAGCCAGATCTCCATCTGTCTGCTGGCTGCCCCTAGATGCTCCCACAGCTTGCTCCATCCCCTGTCCTGCTGCCCCCAAGGCCCCAGCCCGGGCAGGACCCCAGCCCCATATACTGGAAGGGAAGGAGCCCGGATCCATCTCCCGGCCCCCATCACCCACGCAAGGCAGCTCACGCCTCCCCCTCACCATCTGCTGCTCCAGCTCCGCAGGGGCTCAGGGAGCTTAGTGGAAGCAGCAGCTCCCGGCTGGGCGTATCCAGCCCAGGGGTGCCCAGCTGTGCTGCTGAGATCCCCAGAGGTGTGGGGTGCTGGGGCACCAGCTGAGAGGGTGGGAGAAAAACCATGAGCCCACGGGAAGTCAGGGGCCAGTGCCCAGCTGCCATGAGCCAGAAATGAGCTACAGCATCCTTGGCCTCTCAGCAACACAGACCCTCCCCAGCATCACCCAGCCTGGCAGTGGGAGGTGGCACCAGCCACAGTAAAGTCCTCGCCAGCCCCGTGCCCTGCCCAATCACAGAACAGCTGTTCTGACCCCAGCCCCCAGCCATAGGCCCTGCCCCACAGCAAGGGGACAGATGGGCTCATGTTAGCAGGGTGCCAAGGAGGCGGGTGTGCAGCTGGCATGGACTGTGGTGGAACCCAGCGTGGGCAGACCAGGGTATTCCCAGCCCCCAAATGGTCTCCAGTGGTGGATGCCCCGTACAGGACCCTTGCACCACACAGACAGGATCAGGTAGATGTGCTCTGCCCCTCTCACAGAAGAAAGGAGCCCACAGTGTTGCCAGAACCCGCACACCATGGGCAGAGTGGTGCCAGGGCAAGGCAAACGCAGCAAGAGAGGCTGCGGGAGGCAACCGCAGGCAGCCCTGGCTGGTGGGAGTGCCGTGGGGCCACCACAGCACAGATCAGCCCAGGATTAGCTCGGAAAAGCAAAAATAGCCTGAAGCTGTGACTAAGGCCAGATTTTGGCTCTGGGAAGCTGGGATTATGGTGATATCCAGGATGTGTTATTAGAACAGAAAACAAGGGTTTGCATTTGGGAGTGGCTCACTGAGCTGGAGGATGTGGCCCTGGCAGGCTTGGCGGACCCCAACCACGGTGGCCAGTGTGCCTGGCCGGTTGCCCCGGGGCCCAAAGCAGCGACTGCCCGGGAGAGGCAGGGTTAACTCCCCACGGGGTATCACTGCGCTAAACCCCTCTCCATGGCAGATAAAGCCGATAAGAGGCACATCAAACCCACAAAGTCCCACACTGTTTAAAATTGCCCGGGGGCGGTTGGGCAGCTTTGGACAGGGGACTGCCAGGACACTGAAGGCAAAGCCAAGCTCTCCAGGGCAAATTCCCAAGGCTTTGGTCGTGGTGTTGCAGGCAGCTTCTCCGGGGACTCTTCCCTTGGAGAGACTGGTCCAGGAGCTCTGCCCCTGCGGAGGGACGGTGGGATCACCGTCATGGGGCACGTGTGGTTCTGCCCTGTCACCTCCAGGAGTAGCTCAAGTAGAGTCGGGGAAGAGATTTCTCACACATTGCAGCCCCAAGGGTAACATGCCAAATTTCAGCTTCCCTGGGCAAATGACCCGCTGCCCCGTGTCACTCCAGGCCAGGAGACAGCTCGGGCATCGCAGCAAACACAGGCTCTAGAGTGCTCCAAGTGCCTCGATAGTGCCCTGGGAGGTGGCCGCAGGCTCTCAGTGCCATCCTCATGCCAGTCGCTCCCAGGCAGCTGGCCCGGGAGACACCTGCTCCAGGTGTTTTGAGGGGAAGCCGAGGTCAGTCGTGAAAATGGACTGTCCCCGGATGACTTCATGGTGCCAGCAGTCCTGGAGCTGACAGGTGGCACCCGGGCATCACCCATCCCGGATTCAATCCATCCCGGCCCCGGCACATGGACACGGAGAGGAACTTAGCGGCCGAGGACACGGGCACCACTCGGGCACGGGACGGGGCATGCCGGGGTCCTGGGGATCCCGGGTCAGCCTGGGCTTATTGAGACCGACCGTGCCCTCTCCGGATCTCCCTCGCCGCTCCCGGGGCCCCACGCACCCCTCCCGCAGATACCGGGATCTGTCCCTGGTGCTGAGCGCGGCTGCGGCGGCACCGAGCGGCACCGGCCGCGGGAGCAGGGAGAGCATCGCGGGGGCGGCCTGGGGCACAGGCACAGGGAGTACCGGAGCACCGAGCCCAGGTACGGGACGGTCCCCGTACAGCGCGTGGGTGGCCGCACCCCTGTCCCTCTCGCCATCTCCTGCGGGGCAGCGGCTTCCCTCACCCGCTTTCCCCCCACGCCGCCGCCACCGCCCTTCCCCGGTCCCGTCCCAGCCCTACGTGTGCCATCGAAGCGGGTGGCGATGGTGTCCAGGAAGGTGTTCTGCGGCGCCAGCAGCCCCTTCATCACCGGCATCGTCCCGCCCGACCGGCCGGCCGCCGCGGGGCTGCGGCGGCGGGGCTGCCTCCGCCGCCCCCGGCCCCTCCGCAGCGCCGCAGGCTGATCCCGGCCCGCCCGGGGCTCCCGCCCCGCCCCCGCCCCGCCCCGGCACCGGGAGTGGCCTCGGAACCGTCGAGCACCGTCTCCCGCCCGCGGGTAGGGCGATCTGGCCCGGGGGAGCTCTGGGTTCTTCGCGCCAAGACCCGCTCAGCACTGGAGCCGCCGTACCGGGAGGCACCGAGACCCGCTCGGTCACGGCAGCTGCTCACCCCCGGCCGTCCCGGGTCCACGGGGGCTGCAGAAGGAGCAGGAGAAGCCGCACCTCGGTTAACCTCTGTCCTGATACTGCACTCAGGCAGTCGGTCCCGCGCACGCTCCAGTCCAAGCACCGCAAAGGAACGCACTTGCTCCGGCGGCTGCCCCGGCGCTGAGCTGCACCCTCCCCAGAGAGACAACAGAGCCGGGTGACATCAGGCTACCATTTATTGTAAAAGGCCGCGGTGCCCGCGGTGCCCTGAGCAGGCTGGGCCAGGGCCAGGGCTGGGAGGAGGTATCTAAAAGTGCTATTTACACTGAGCTCCGGCTGTGTGTCCCCGGAGTCCATCCTGCCAGGGATCCCCTCTCTGTCCCTCTGCCCCCATCCCATTCAGTAAAAGCTCCTCGCAGCTCCCTGGGCCTGGTTCGTGCTCAGGTCCTTCCCTGAGTGTCCCTGGCACTCCCTGGGGCCATGAGGGCTGGTGTCAGTACCTCGCGGCTCCGCTGTCGGCTGGGTGACCGTGCCCGCAGGGCAGCCCAACGTGTCGTGGCAGGTGGTGCTAGGCTGCTGCCCACGCTTGCCCATTGTGAGGATGCCCGCAGCGTGGTTGCCGGAGCCATGGAGCAGGCGGTAGAGTCGGCTCTGGAAGGCGAGGGGAACGCTCTTCCTCTTGCCCAGTGTGAGGATGCCAGCGGCGTGGTTGCCCATGCCGTGCAGGAGGTCGTAGACACGGCAGGAGCAGGTCTTCTGCCGGCAGCAGTGGGGCAGGCTCTGCCGGGCCGCAGCCAGGGAGCAGAACAGGAGCAGGAGCAGGAGGCAGGCAGCTCGCCGGGGCTGCCGGAGCAACGGGCAGCGTTAGTGCAGGCAGCGGCAGGGCAGAGAGGGGGGACTGCACAGCCCCAGGGTTGCCCCCTCGCTGTGCTCATTGGTGTTTCAACTCCCCCCTGCCCTGGTTGTTGCCCAGCCCCACACCCGAGGTGCACACTTCACTGCCCTGGGGCACGGCCAGCACCCTCACCTGTGTTCCAGCCAGCAGGCAGATGTGGGTGTCCTCACTGCACCCCTGCTCTGCTCCGGCACACAGCAGCTGTGGCAAACACCCTCCTCTCGCTATCCAGTGCCACGGGACAAGCACTGAAAGCACCCATGCTGCAGGCATTGCAAGTCCAACTCCCTCCCAAGCAGCCCCCTCATCGGCACCGCTACAGTCGGGGAGTCCCGGGGATTTGCTGCACAACTCCGAGCTTCCCAAGAAACCAGCCAAGCCCTCCCACACCCCCAGCCCTACAATCTGACTTCCCACCCATCGCTGTTCTCTTGTCCCCAGGGGCTGCAGTACCCCAGCCCCACCTTGGTGTTGGGCACCTCCATCCTTCCTGGGCTCTTCAGGTGGCTGAGCAGCTCTGGGGCATGTCCCATGGGCAGCCGACAGCGCAGCACCCTGCACTGCCACTGCCACTTTATAGTGCCCAGCACAATAGTGCTGCCAAAAATACCGCCGGGGCAGCGGGGGCAACTGGTCTCTGGGAGACGTGGGAGCACTGTGGCCGGTAGCCCGGAGACCATCCAGGCCTTTCCCCTCATTTGCAGCTCCCCATTGTGAGGGTACTCACTGGACGGGGCGCCTGGCACTAATGAGGCAATAATTGCCCATGGGCTGAGCTGCTGGGCTGGCACAAAGAGGCTGAAGGTCAGCGCTGGCCGGCTCCGACAGCAGCGCAGTGCGCGGGGCCGCTGCTCAGAGCCCCATTAGGCTAATTAACCCCCCGAACAAAGGGGTGCCAGCAGCTCTGTAGCTCCCTGACTGACGTGGGGAGCCGTCACTCTGCGCTTGGCTGGTGCCAGGGAGGGATAGTGCCACAAGGAGCCTGTACCCAGCGCCACCCTCCATCCCCTTTGGTGACACCATCCCATCCTGGTCCTGTGCCTGGAACAGAGGGAGCCACAGGGCACCAGGGAGGATCTTGCACTCTTTATAACACTCCACAGCCCCAGCCCGACCCCAGATCACCTCCAGCCTTTGCTTGTGCTGAAGTCCCTTGCCCTGGGGGATGAACCCAAACATTTCCCTGATGCTAGAAGCCACATCTGCTGTTCAGGGACATTCTGGCCCTACATCTGCTGTACCAGAGAGCCTCCCAGTCCCTCTGTATAATGGGGACCTCAGGGATGCTATGGAGGTGACAGGACCAGCCAGGATCCTTCCTGCCAGCCAGGTATTCCCCAGAGCTGGTGAGGGCCAAACCTACAGCCCTGGGGAGGGTGGGCAGGAGCCCAGACCTGGGACTGCTTTTCCAAGTGGCATCTGGCACAGCAGGCTGGGGGTACATGCACATGGGCACTGGGGTATCAGCATCCCCATTGGCCTCTTGGAAGAGTACTGGCTCCAGAAGCAGATGGAGGGGATGGATGAATCCTCTGGGAGCTTGGCAGGGCAAGAGGGAGCAAGGACATCTCTCCCCAACCTCTCCACTGAATTCTGGTGCAAGCCCCTCAACACGGCAGAGCACAGGCACCCAGCCTCACACACATTCCCCAGGCAGGCTGAGGCTCCCTGCTCCCGGCCCCTGCAGCCAGGGGTTCTCAGTCCGGGCCCCGAGCCCCAGACCGGGGTCAGCAGGACGCTGTGTCGCCACCTCCATCTGTCTCAGGGATGGGCTCCAGCGGGGCTTGCAGCCGAGACGGCTCTGGCGAGGCTGATCCGTTCCTGCCAATGCCGCAGGACTGTCCCGCATTGTGGATCTGCCACAGGTTGTCCAGTGCCTCCGCCTTGGCATGCTTGAGGAGGTCAGCCTGGCCCTGCGGGGAGGAGAGGCCGGGAGGTGTGTTAGGGTGGAGGCAGGAGGGTGAGGGGGCAGGGCAGGGCAGGGCAGGGCAGGGCAGGGGTGTCCGCGCAGCCCTTGCCCCTCACCTTGAGGACAGTGATGTTCCAGGCGAAGCTCTCCAGCGCCTTCTGCAGCTTGCGGCCCCGCAGCCCTTCCTTGGTCTCGATGCGGTGCAGCTCCTTGTGGAAATCCATCCCTGCATTGGCAGGAGAGGTGCTCAGTGGGTGCAGAGATGTTGGCACAGGGACAGCCACCACCCACGACCAACAGGGACCAAACCAGAGGGACGTCCTTTGCACACCGTGGGGTTGCAGGCTGGGTGGGCTCCCCACTGCCCCAGTAGCCTCAAGAATCCTCCATGCCTCAAATGATGGGCCAACAGAACCCCCAACATCCCAGCACCACGGTCAGCCGCAGCCTGTGGCCATTCTGGACCCAGAGACCATGAGGTCTGGAAGGGCAGTGAAGACCCTGGGCAGAGGCACAAGTCTTGCACTCCACGGCTCATCTTGGGGGGAGTCAGAGCAGGGCCACCAGGCCCCCCATGGGAGCGCAGGCCCCGTCACTGTGCCCCATGTGACATCCCCGTGAGTGGGTGCTATATTTACCCCTCCTGACGCAGCACCGGCTCTGGGCCCACGCGAGAGCTCCCACGCAGCTCAGTCGCCCTCGCGCTGCCAATCACCAACGCCCACAGCCCCGCGCCCCCACTGCAGCTCCCCGGACCCCCAGCTCCTGCCAGCCGGCTACCGGCTATGCTGGCACCACAGGGGCTTGCCCACAGCATGGCCAGGGTGAGAGCAGGGACAGGCAGCACCAGGGCACAGGGGTGGGGGCTGCAGCTGCCAGATTGCTGCCTACCACCCCCCCCCCCCGAGAGGCTGCACACCCCAGAATCACTCTGCTCTCTGCAGCACTCCAGCGCAGCACCCAGAGCAGTCCAGGAGGGCAGAGCACCAATCTGTGCCCTGCAGCTTGTGCCCCACTGCTCCACTCCCCCAGCGCTCGCAGCAGTGGCAGAGCTGAGCCAAGAGCTTGGGGAGATTTCCGTCTGCCGCGTAGGCAGGGAACAAACACGGCTGCTGGCAGCAAGGCTGGCATGGCGGGGACAGCAGAGCAGGGCCTCCTCCTTCTTCCCCAGCCCCTCCAGCTCCTGACACTCTCCCAGCCCCACAGGGTGAAGCCCCTGGAGCTGCTGGGGCTATCCCTGTGGGTCCCAGCTAACAGAGGGGCCACGCAGCCATTGGTGCCTGCAATGAGGCCAGAGGTCCCAGGCAGCTGCCAGAGTGGGGGCACCTGCGGGGAGGACCAGGGCAGGCAGCAGCAGCACCTGCCTGTGTGGGTTCTGCCATGTGTTTGGGAAGTCTTAACACTCAGTTGCCATTTCTGCCGTCAGCCCCAGCCTGTTATTTCTGGCACTAATTATGTTCTGGCGTTTGACAGCTAATGACTCTTCCCCGCTTCCTCATCAGCCTCCCCCACTCTGCTTGCTCCCTACCACACAGCTCTGCAGCCCACCCACCCTGTCCCAGTGCAGGAAGCCCTGAACCCCAGCACCCCAGAACATGCTTGGATCCACAGCCAGAGCCTCAGCAGAGCTGGGGCTGCCCTCCAGGACCCACCTGCCTGCTGTGCCTGGATGAGCTTCCCGTACACGGCGTCGGCAGACTCGATCAGCGTCCGGCTAGTCTGGATCATCTAGGGAGAGGGGCAGCATGAGGAGCTGGGCAGCCCTGGCCCTGTGCCCTCTGGCCAAGTGGATGAGGAGACACTGTTCATCAGGGGCTGCCCCCTGCCACCAGTACAGTGCCCGGGGTCTGGCCCTTCCCACCTCACCACACACGGCCGGGTATGGTGTGACCAGCACTTGGCCAATGGCCAGGTTCCCTTCAACACAAAAGAAGGAAGCAGCTCTGGCTGTGGCTATTAATGGGATTTCTCCCACCTGGTGGGACCACAGCAGGGGACAAGCAGTGCAGGCACAGGGTAGAGACTGCAGTGTCTGAGGGCTGGACAGATCTGAGCAAGTCTGTGCCTTGGCAAGGCTCCTCCCTGGGCAGCCCTAAAGCAGCCCCCTGGCTGCTCATCTTCCCCTGCCCCAGGATGGGTACAGTGAGTTCAGGGCTCCCCATCCTTGGACCTTCTGATGCATCCCACAAAACCTGCCTGGGTTCATCCCACAAAACCTGCCTGGGTTCATCCCATAAAACCTGCACCACCACTGGGTGCTAGTCCCAGTGCCACCGATCCCAGAGATCCTCCCCAAGGAGCCAAGCCCCGACAGGACGGCACTTACAGTCTCGTAGGCAGTGAGGACCTTGCGCAGCAGGTCGGGGATGGGGCCCTGGGCCTCCATGGGGGGGTACTGCTCTGCCAGGTTGAGGGTGACGCTGGGTGCACTGTCACTGTGCAGCAGCCATGTGGACACCGTCAGGATGCACTGCTTCATATTGGCAGCGGGTGTCAGCCCACACAGCTCCTTGAAGGAGACCAGCGCATTCTGCAGAGACCAGTATCCAGTGTCAGGAGTTCAGCTGGGAGGACCCCCAGGAGCCCCCCAACACAGGAACACCCCCATTTCCCACAGCTCTCTGCTCTGGGTAAGGCTCCTGGCTCACATTCCCCAGGAAAAGGGGGACAGCCTGGCTCCCCACCACTCTCAGTCCAGCCCCATCCTCCCCTGCAGAAACCAGATCCCCTGGTGCCTCTGCAGGGCCCATACCTGTACATTCTCCCGCAGGTCAGTGGCCTCCCGCAGTGGCTGGGTGGCCGTCCGGAAGACTTCATCGATGGCTTTGATGCCAGTGGCCTTGGTGGAAGTGTACTCCCGCACTCGGCGGCCCCGGCGCCCTGCCAGCCCCCGGCGGTGCCCCTTGCCCCCACCACGGCGGTCAGTGATGGCCACGTGCACAAAGAGGGTGGCATGGGGCAGGGGCTCTCCGGCCAGCGACTGGAGGGGGACGTGGCGGTAGCCAGGCTGCAGGCACTCAAAGGGGATGGTGTACTGGGCAATGAACTCGTCCCCGATGTAGTCATCGTCCAGCACAACGAAGCGCAGGACAGCCAGCTCTGGCAGGTTTATCTGGAACTCCAGGCTCTCGTCAAAGATGGGGTTGTCCCCGCTCTGCAGGGCTGTCTTGGTGCGGTGCTCAGCGCAGTCGGCCGGAATGCCGTGGATTTCAGCACAGACATAGGGCTCCACAACCTCCCCCTTGGCTCCTGAGCCCTTGGGCTTGGGCAAGTTCTGCCCGCTGATGACCTTGAGGTGTAGGAGCTGGGCAGGCACCCCGGGCAGGGAGTCCTTGGCGTTGGCACTGAAGTAAGAGACCTCCTCCCGCATGATGGCCGGACGGAGGACGTAGCCACAGGCTCCATTCTGCCGGAACCAGCCCGCATTCAGGTCCATCATGAGCCCTGGTGTCTGGTAGTTCATAGCCACCATCTGGCAGCCGCACTTCCAGAAATCCTGGGGGTTCATGTTGCTGGCATCGATGCGCATGGGGCTGGGGTAGATGCGGGAGAGGAACCTCTTGTTGTAGCTGACCAGCTCAGCCGGACACTCGTTGGCGAAGCGTCCCGCCTCCACCTCGCTGA